TAGGAAGGTGCCCTGCCACCGTACCTTGCTGCAGTAGAGCCCCGTACACGACGAGGAGCGCGTCCTGTAACGTGAGAGCCACGGGTCCTTCCTGGTGACTCCAGCGGTAGCTGAAGGCGAGCATCACAGAGGCAGCCACCAGGAAGACGACGGTGAGACAGCAAAGGCCCAGATCAAACGGCATCGCGAACGCCTTCCAGTACGGCAGTTCGGGCCTGCGGATGTACACCCGAAACCTAGGCAAGACGCGTCATCTGATGACCCAGTGCTCATTCGCCGACGTTTCGGAAAGCCTACCTCGTTCCCATGGTTACTGTGACTGCCATGGTTACCTTGGAACACGCAGCCACCCAGATCTCTGACGTCACTTGTGAAGGCTGAAATTTTACGCTATACCAAAATGTCCCAACTTGTTCTAAGTTACCTAGTCCTTGCTGTTTGGTACAGCAGTCACAAATCCTTAATTGTCAGATCCTTTTTCACTTCTACTTTATTCATTCTCGTGTTTATTTGGTTTAAAGTAATGTCAGCAGCTTATTCATCCCCACATTTAACATATTTCTACATATTCACTTATTAATCTTAAGTTTTTACTTAAAAATCGTCACTTAGATTCCATTCTTTTGCGATCAGGAGTTCACCCAAAGTCCTAAGATTCGATACAAGGCCAGTTTTTGAGGCTACATACCTGAGCTTCATGACGGGATCCGATAAATATGACACCCGGTCCACAGAATTCGCCGTCAGGACTGCCAACAGCACATCTGCGCTCCCATTGGTGGTTGGGTCAGCTAATCGCCGTTCCAGCGAAGGAAATGTTTTCTCGTTTATTACAGAAAACCTACTCCTGGAATGAAAACGTAAACACGTGACCGGAAAAAAAACATTCCTATGCATTTGGTATTTGTGGCACCACAAAATTTGTACTTTATAAACAGAAAAAGTTACGTAACAAGTGTTCGTGGCCTACTTAAAGTTCACGTGAAGCCGGAGTAGGAATGCTAACCAATGAACTTCGACATTCCTCACCAAAGAGAAATTGGACTAAACAAAGTCAGGGTTTCCGTGAAGATGTTTATGAACTCTTGCTTCCTAGAACTGAATAAGCGGCGACGTTTGTCGTAGAATAAAAGAAGAAAATGAGTTATTAATTTTGTTTCGATGATTTGTCATGCGTTCATATTTATCGCCACTCCCGACTCCTCTGCGTCTGTAATGTAATATTCTGGACACAGAACAGGTCGACATCACGTCATGCCCTCATGACAGACTTAAGGGAGTTCGACTGCACTTACGAGAAGTTGAGAGCTGCTTCCAGCACCCGCCATACGTCCACGAAGTACCCCTGAGGCCCTGGAAGCGTCGTCACGAACGGAGGATCCTGTCAAAAGTCAGGAAACCAGCCTTCACGTTCAGAACAAAACCCGCATAATTATCAGATGGTTGGCCCGACTTCGTCTCGATTAGCATGACATTGTCCTGCATCAGTTTCCACCTTTACAGTGGCCAGCAATTGACTGACTAAATGGCAGCCACGTGTGGGGTGGCATTGCACCATCAGTGGTTCAGCGGTTACTTTTTAGTGTTACACGTCACCGCAGAATAATTATCGGCCAATGTTTTCCGGTTGATCTGTATCTGCTCTGCAGCGATATCAGAGCTCACTGCTTTGCTTTTCCCCCACTACTCTCACCTTGCCGCCCCTCTCGCGCAGACCAGAGGCCACCACGAGGTAGCTGGACTGTACTTGGAACAAGACACTTACCTCGACAGTGACTACGTTCAACTGCAGACCTTCCAGGTCACTCCTCCGTTGCCAGAGGTCTTTGCTACTGGTTATGACGCCGCCAGGTCGCGACCACCGTCCGAAAAGCTGGTGTCGCAGTGGACCGCCCGGGACGACGCGGTACCACTCGACCAGATCAGCGGTGTAGGTGGTGCTATGTCTTGAAGTAACTACCACCACCTGGACAAATGGCCCACAGAATAACTATTCTGCTCCTCACCGCTGAATATGATTGTCCTAGCACAACTCCAGGTTAGGCTGTTTACACAATAGGCAACCAAGACGACGCGACCACAGAATTTACACATGGCCTTATTTCCGCACGGAGCAACGCGACCACTTCAAAGCCAAATCTGGTGACGTCTTAATGCCTACCGACGTGAACGGTTCGGAGATCCTATACGTAACCGATTATCTTCTGTCAGCTACTTTACACAAAACTGGATACGGAAGTCGAGTGAGATCGGCCTAATAGGTACAAGGTTTGATTCCTGAGTACGTCATGTTTGAATTGACTATTAATATTGTGTAAATGTCTTTCGAGTTGTCGATCTAAAGTTGTATCAAATCAACACAAATTATCGATGAAAGAAACAGCTTGAAAAAATTTCAAATTATTCTCCGGAGGACTTCCGGTTCGTTCTGACTTTAAAACAGCCCCATCCTACCTGAGTAAAAATAACCACACATCCCTAGGCTAGGCCCTATCGTCGTTTCTCATTTAGAAAATGAATTTTTAAATATTCGTGTTCAGATACGCTTCGCCTTTAAAGGATGAATGTAGGCTGCACCCTCAACTTTCTTGTAGCCTTTCTGTGACGCACTGGGCTGTACAAATATAGCTCTGTTGTTGCTTCTCCAACATTCGCTTTGAAACTGACCTCGGCAGATCTATTTTCGTCAAAAGAGTTCGTTCAAAAAGCCGCGCTCCCAAAGAGGATTGATGTGTAACGAGCCCTAATGAGGAGATGTTTAGAATAACTTTTCTATCCTACTATTATCGTTGCCGTCATGTTTGTACTTGCCTGACTGCGGAAAGAAATTGTTTCCAAGGACAGAAGAAAACTGGAGACGTTTGTGTCTGACGTCTCCAGTATGATCCACTTGAACAAGTCGAACAGACCCGGAAATTCTGCAGAAGCCTGTCGACGTGAAAAAAGGTACAGCGTTTTATCTCAACTTCAAGAACACGATTATCCATAGACAAAGTCTGAAATACCATCTCTTCACCAAATAGGACACATATTCTTTTAGTGATGGAACACTGTTTTGTGGAAATGTGGTCTCCACGCTCCTATAACTAATCTCTGGTTACGAAACGAGGTCTCTTTCATTCGGTAGTAGACCGGAAGTAGGCAATACAAATTTCGGAAATATATTTGGACCTGAGAAGAACAGTTTTAGCGAAGACTGTCCAAACCGAGGACACACAGGTCTGTTAAGATACA